GGGTTGGGGAGTACTTCTAGGGATTTGACTTGCGTAGTAGCCGGCAAATTGAGAAGTCATAGTGATAATCACAGTTGGTCAATAGAAAATTACAATTTGCGTGACGTTGAATGTACGCTTAAAAGCATGCAGGTATGTCCAAGCTTGCAACAGCTGTACATGGCTTCCATATTCACTACTATTATGATATTCCGATGCATCAGATCGTTCGACTCCAATCTCTACCGCGTGAAGCTGTTTTTACCAAACTCTTTCAGATGTAAACGGCGGAAAGGCTACAAGATTATGTTAAACATACTTTCTTTTCGGAAAAAGAGAAAATAGGTAAATGGAGGTCATGGCTTTATTATCATCTTATATAAGGTATAGCCGTTTTTGCAGACAATTTCTTTGTATTCCAGCTTGCTGTAGTTTACTCAAATCACAGAGAGGTCCGTCATTTAGAAGCAATCCGCTGCACAGTACAATTCTCTGCGCAAAGTGCTCGGCTATTCCGATACAAATCTGGATTTGCAATAAATTGTGCAGCAATACCTACAATGTATCAAGGAAATATTTGAAATGATGATTCCAAAGAGTTGAGAAAGTGCGGACCATCATCGCGTCCGCCTATCATGCGTACAACCGTCGTCGCAACCGAGTACACCAAAAGATTTAAAGCAATACGAAAATCGTATTTCTGCTTTACCACAACATTCACCGTCTGCTGCATACCGCTCATCAGCGAACACTACATGGCTTTTAAGGCCTCGCGTCGATGTATGTCTCGTGGTCAAGCGTTACTATGTTTAAGCTTTTTTGGCATAAGGAAGTAAAGAAGTTGTTGAAGCTTTAATTGTAAAACGCCTATACAATATTTCCACTTCTGAATGTAAGGCTCTAGGTACAGCATCGAATTGGTAGGCGGGAAATGGTCCAATGCCTTGTGGTTGACTGGCGCAAACGGTGAAAGTCAAAGCCTTGCGCAAGATACGCAGCAATTCCGTAGCACAGACCCAACGCCGATTGATTGGGTCAAACACTGTAAATTTGTAGCTAATACTACAGCAATGGGTGAGATCGTTGCATCAATTGTATACAGAGCATATACTACGTACATATCATGAGATTAGCAGATTTTACAGCCAGCTGAAGCATCTCTATCCGACAGCTAGTTTCGAGATGGAAAGCATAAAAATCAGAACGAAATCAATTGAACACGAGCAGAAGTACCTCGGCTTTATGCAACATGACTATACTCGAATTTTCAAGCTCGCGAGCCATTATGCTGAGCCCACATAGCCTTCGAGAGGATGATGGGGGAGAACACTTGCGCAGAGAAAGTATTTCGTCAATCTCATCGAATAATTTGTCCTCAGATTCTGCATACATGTTGCTATCAAAACAATGTCATCTATAAGCTTAACAACCCATCTTACCCGTGCACGCAGGAGGATCAAGCAAACTACGCAAAGGTTTGCCATCTCGAATGCGCTGCAAGCCCTACAGAAAATAAAGCGGAAGGTCTAATCACGAAAAGTCGAGCGCTGCCAAACTTAGCGTCACATACATCGACCCAATACTCTGCTGCTCTATGCGTTACCGCTCTTAAAGTGATCGTCGTGCCATTAATCCCAAGCCGTAGTAGCCTAGTATCCTCTTGGTCTTTTGAAACCAACAACAGCTAATCAGTAAAAGTTCACCATGAAGATAAAGCAAGTAATCACTTTTGGCTCCATCATCATCAAGAGTAATCAAGGATGCACAATGCAGGTCTGTAGACATGACCATCACTTGATGTGTTGACTAACCAGCGTGTGAATAGAATGAGATATTTTTCCAGTGTAGAAAAGATGAACATTCGTACATGAACGCGATAGAGCACCAATTGGTGGCCAATAGTCTGAAAGAGGAATGGACGCCAAGTTCCATTTAGTTTACGGTAATCAAGAAACCCCGACAATCCTTCAGATTCGTCATGCTCAACCTTGTTGCATTGTCTATTGGATGTGGAGAATGCTTCTAAGCCATCAGAGATTGCAGAGCTATCGGTACTGACACCGCTTTGAGTTCTAAGCCGCAACGAGGCGCAACGATCCAAGTCCGCCGACGTCGGTGTCAACAAGGACACGGACGAGAGCGAGTGACAGAACGTCTGGTGCATTAATCGTTATAACCGACACTCCTGTTAATAGATTATATGGTGATGTAGGGCAACATGACGCTACGTCGATCGTTGAACGGTGGAAGACACATTCGGTTACTGGCCAATGTAGTGTAAAAAACGAAAATGGATTATATAACCGCAAATAAGTTAACAAAATTAAATTCGTCATGACAATGCGCGACCTTTTCAGGGTCGTAAAGATGGCGACATCACTCTCTACGGTTTCTCCAATCAACTTTGCATCACCCAGAAAAGTTATCAATCATTTGGAAGGTGCTCGGACGTCGGGATGCTTCTACACGCAGCCATCTGAGCGCCAATCAAACGTTGCACTTGGGATGGCGGCGGTGGCCCTTGCAGCTTTGGCTTTTCCAAGAAATTGTGTGTCTGAGACGCTGTCAGAAGCTACACAAGTGGTGGAAGGAAAAAAGAGTGTGTCGACTAAGACACAGCTCGAATCGACGAGAGTCGGAGTAGGACGCCGCTCGTTGCTTAAGCAGCGCAGTAAATATCAGGCCAAGCTAGAGGAAGTGGATCAATTGAAGATGCATCTGGACGAATATAAACAGTCACGAGAAAGCATGTATTCGCTGTTTCAACGGTTTGACATGTATGCGAGCGAAAACGTGGAATCTGGTGATGGCAAACGCGTGAAGGTGATGACCTTCACCGACTTTCTGCACTCAATTGTGCTGCCGCAGTTCCATCTACGATCACCGGTAAAGAATTAGGAATATTTACTCACTTACGAGCTTGGTGGAGAACTAATGTAAGTGTTATGACAGCGTCTAGATCTGTCATACACTTGCGACTTTGTGGGAAATGCCAACGGACTCATTACGTACGAGGAATATTATCTGCTTATCCATTTGCTGCAAAGTGAGCTACAGCTGAGTTTTTAAATATTTCATAGTTAAGGAAAGCTAATTGAGTGCTTTCTGTATGCATTTCTGTATAGTTCCAAAAGAACACTTCGAGGTGGCTTTTTGCATGTTCGATTTGGATAGTGATGGGATGGTGGACAAGGCAGAGTTTTGTTCTGTGATCGAAAATTTGCTACGATCTATCAATGATCACGAAGCCAGGGAAAAAAATATAGCCTCTGCTGAGAGCTCGCTTCCACGGCTAACGAAATTTTTGTTCGGGCGTTTCAAAAAAACAATCTCTGCCAAAGATCTTGAAGCGGCACTAAATCTGTTGCGTACGAAAATCTTGAGGTTCGAATATGACATGTATGCCACTGTAGACCAGTTGACGAAGCAGCAAAGCATGTCGGTTCATGATTTCGCGCTTACTTTGATATCATGCTTTGACCCGGAGAAGCTACCTCCTTATCTCGAACGCGTTCAGGCGCTTACTGAGAGTGATGTGCGTGTACAAATTTTACTGATGATCTTGTTAGGCTATTTTTCTTACGTTCGGATAATATCAGGGAGCGGTGACGTGGGATGATTTTTTTACTTTTCATTTTAACGTGCAGAGCAACTTGACTGACATAAAAGCTGCACTGGAACTTATTGGTGTTGACGAGATCAAGGAAGGTAAAGCATATAGTCAGCTTTTAAACCAGATATATCCGTGCCTAAAGAGTGACTGGTTACAGCGGATTTTACTCGTGCAGTTCGGGTTGCAAGCGGCACTGAACTTTCTTCTCCTGTCGTGCGGCTTGCATTCCGCATTTTTGATGAAAACGGTAGGCGGTAATGACAGTTTAATAGCTAGCAAAGTTTAATGCCCTGCTTTATGTCTAGCAAGTGGAACTTTGAATCAATCTGAACTCTTGAAGGTACTGGAGATGCGCAATAAGGTACAACTTAAGCAGGTGCGCGTGTGCTCCATACCCTTAACCATGAAGGACTATACTCATGAGAATTGTTTAGGACTCAAAGTTAGAATCGCGTTTGAAAAAATTCTGGCACTGTGTTCGAGTGATCGAAAAGAAATGAGCCCCGTGAGTCTTAATGTCGTGTTCACAAGTTGTTTACCAGAACAAATCCGTCTTAATATCGAGCAATGTTAATACATTACGGAGGCGCGTCATGATTTTCAATCATAATAATCTTTTGATCATACGTTCGTTGATAAACCAAGAAAATGCAAGGTTTGAACTAAATTTGCTGTTTTTCTGAAGAAACGAAGCAGATCTACGTTGTGAGCTCAGATGAATGGGACACAGAGATGAATTTCACGCTTAATTGTAATAAGGCACTTACATATCGAATTTAAACGTTTTTGAAACGAAGGGAAGAATTTCTTTCACAGCACTTTGCACAGCATAGGCTTTCCACTCGTGAAGTGCGCGTCATTGAATGCTCAAAGGATTTGCTCAATGGACGTGAAAAAAGAATCTCTTAAGTACTGAGTGCTCATAACTGCTAAAGTTGGATAGTGACAAACGGATTGTTCACATACTTGGGAGGTTAGAAATCGAATTCAGTACAAATTGCGATTATTATCACAAGTTAACGAAATCATTTCAGCACATCGTATTACATAATGAGTAATACTTCATGAATTCTGAGGCGTCGTTGTAAGTCGTCAACACCGAATACTGCTACAAACAGGGATGCTGACACAATGCTTTAAAGTGATATTATTTGATTAATTTGAACATCATATCACGTCGTACATGGCATATGATCTCCTATCATTTCCCAACTTCTGTATATAAAAATTAGCTTTTAAGTGTAAAGTAGATTTGAAGTATATAACGCCATTCGATTGTTTTATGTCAAGAAGACATCCATGCTTACAATGCGTTCGACTCACGTACTGACGTCTTCTAACAGGCAAAGAACTTAGGTGCAAAAATGAAAAAAGCAAAATGAATGGAGCTACCTCTCTGCAGTCAAATACATCGACATTGAAGCTAGCACAACAAAAGGTGATTGGCACTCACATGTCTCTCGCATCCGTTGCCGTGTCTTTATGAGCTGCAAATAACCATCTAAAAAATATGTTAAGGGCAACAACCAGGCGCGGAAGCAAGACCCATTTTAAAATTCATAGCAAACTTGTGTACTACTAGCCACTTTAACCCCATTATATATCGCAAACTAGCGAAGTTTGGCCCTTTTGCGCTTTTGCACAGTAAGTGTGTAATGCGGTACAGCTACCGTCAAATATATGAATCGTTCTTCACAACGCGGGACAACTTTCTTATCAAATACGACTCATAGTCGCCAGTATTCACAATGTGTTCTAGAATATGCAGCTTTAAGATTATCAATCTGTCTCACTTTACGACATACGATCGTTCTCAACGATCTCGAAATGTGTACCCTGTGGATCACGACTCACAATCGCTGTTGCCTTCTGCGCTTAACTTGAAACTTTCAACAATATGTAGCCAATCCGCAATTTATATATTATCACTGTTTTATGACTGTGCCAGACGCTTCATATCGTTAGCACAGCTGAACAATGCCCTACCAAGTATCGACCAAAGAAACTGGGGTGATACCGTGCATCCTTTATTTCTACTCATTCCGCTGTGCAAGGTCTCCCCGACAGGCCAGACTTCGGATCATAGCGTATCACAGTCTGGAATCTACACATTGCTTAACGTTGTGAAGCATTTTAGACTTCTTGGAATTAGAAATTTGATTTCTTAGGATATGAAGAAGATTCGACATGCTCTCACCCAGATACAACGTGGACTTCGAGGTATGACCGGGACAAGTCAGCTAAGGTCCGCTTTGTGTCTACCGGGACTCGATATTTCCGGAGAGAGGTCTATTGGCGGGCTCTACCACGTAACTTTTCTCGTTATACTTCTCACTCGACAGCAAAGGTGGTATACAGAGCGTGAATGACTGGTACCTCCTTTAATATATTATTAGCAGATTGTTAGGCACTGTGCAGAAACCAAGAGGTCACTCTCTTTAAAGTCAGATTAGATGAGCTCCATCGCCCCTTGCGGCCTCAACATATGTCCGCTTTTCGCATCTCGACTGACCCTCACATCAGCTTAGAACGCATCAAACACTTCTGCAGACACAAGTTAATTACATGGCATGTGGGCGGCCATATCAGTGAGCAGTAGCAAATTGCCCCGGTGGTGGGTTAAAGCCATCAATCCGAGTGTGCAGAGAGCGATATATTGGTATGGTGCAAAGAGTTGACTTGGTCGGACGGCACGGGGATGCTTTTTTAAGATTGAGGAGAATTGCTGTGTCGAACCATAAGGGACTCTTCGTGGAGGAAAAGTGAAAGACGAACCAATTTGAAGCTCAATTTTGCGAGTTTGACTTCTGTAAGCAAATTCACTACTGGGCGCTGAAAAGTGTCCTATGAGTGGATAAGGTACACATTGGGACCTTGATGTCGATGTGCGCGCAATTAAGTGTATCGGTGTTAAGTGCTTGGTATGAACTGTGGTCCACGAGCTAGATCCAAAGTGCGGTGGTAATGTTCTGTAGTTTTCCGTAACCAAAACCCCGGAAAGATGTAAGGTAGTCCCACTATCTCGGTCTGGATCTGGGTCCAGTAGTTCTTTCGGCGCTCCACGCTGAATCTACCACAATATATGACAATATAGAAACAAACGTAATCAAGTCAGTTTGACTTCGCATTACCATATATTCATCCGAAAGGTCTTGAGGTTTAGTTGCATGACGTCGTTATTATAGTCGTGGTTGTAGCGACGATATAGGCCGAGTCGAAGGCATGATCATTGTCAAAGTTAATGCTTGTAATGAACCAATCCATTCAAAACAATCAAGTCCCTTTCGATATTCGATGTACCCACCCGCTATATGTAGTCGTAAACGCTTGATTCTGTGTTGATCGGTGCTGTTTACTGAACTTTCGTTGTCCTTAAAGCAACTTCTGCGAGCTTGCGAAAGTGCACTTAATGTAAGCGCTAGCCCGAAGTTGTTGCTTCAGTGTTGTACAGCTCTTGTTTCAATGTAGAAATAGGGAGTATAGAACACAAAGTCTAATTCTATTGAGTTTTGTAGTATAGCGAAACTCCCCCAGAGCTTAGTTGCAGTAGGTGGATGAGGGCTCGTGGGATCCGCTCCGGCGCCAACGCTTCCGCGTTCACTTCTGCCGGATCCCGGTTTGACTTGAGCAAGCCCACGTTAAACACTGGGTGGGTGCGCATCCGTTATCGAAGGTTCAGCGTATACGCTAGGCTCCGCTTGGTCACAACCTTAAACGGTCCGATAAACCGTGGACGAAGCTTCGTCCGGAAGATACCAGATGATACATGTGTAGAAAGGAATTTTTCAATAAAACCAGGTCTCCGACCTTAAAGCTCTCCACTTTGTATCTTCTCTTTTTATCTGCATATTTTTTCTGCATGTCTTAGCTTGCAGCCATCGCATCCCGAACGTATCTTAAGACACTCAGTCTAGTCGACAGGAAGTCTCCGACTTCTCTACGCACGGTGAGTTGGCTGAAATCAGCTAGTCGCTCGGCTATTCCTCCCGCATCAAGCCCTGACTCATGGGATGGGGCCTCAGCGGGACGCGAGGATTACAGCCCGTTCACGTAGAACGGCGTGTAGCCGGTAGACGCATGCACCGTATTGTGCAAAGACAACTCTATATGGCGCTCCAGCGCTTCTGGGTCTCAGCGCAGTCGCCGCGAAGGACATCTGCAATGACGCGATTCACGTGCTCTGTTCGACTATCGATCTGCAGATGGTCCGCTGTTGATATAGTCAACTTGGTGCCCAGCACCCTGAAGATTGTCGACGAAAATTTCCCAGTAAATCTTGGGTCTCTGTCGGTGACAATTGACTCCAGGGGTGTATGTTGTCGAAAGACACGCTAGCAAGTGAAGGAAAAGAGACAATTAGTAGCATAGCAAATCCACAAACAGCGTCGCTGTACCAACACCGTCGATGGTGTTTGGCACTACCGCAAGATAAGCCGTCTTGCTCAAACGGCCCACAAAAACCACCACACCCGTGATGCCCGCCGAGTCCTTCGGCAAGCTAAACACGAAGTTCATACTCATGGACTGCTAGCACCCGGAGGGTACCAATGAACTGTCCAGCAGCGCTGCCGTATTCGGAGATCGTTCCACCCCTTGACACGTCTTACGCGTGCGCATATAAGGGCTCGTCCATTTGTATAGCTTGGGCCGCCAATAATGGATTCTCACGGAGCGGTAGGTCTTCTCACGACCGGGATGACCACTGTGTGGGGTGTCGTGGGCCTTATAGCGAATACAGAATTTCAAATCCTCATTGTGAGGAACCACAATTCGTGGCGTATCCTTCGTATAATACAGCAACCCCCTTATTCAACGAATATCGGTGTAACCGTGTGCGCAAACACGCCGACAATTTCTTGTCCGAGTTTCAAAACCCCTTGCTCCCGAGAGCCTGTAGCAGCGCTACACACATACAATCACCCGCGTATGCGGTGCGGATCAAATCCATCACTGACAACGAGCTTGAGCAAGCTTTAATCAGGTCCGCGTGACAAAGCATCAGCTAAAGCATTCTTCTTTCCTGGCTTATACTTCACCTCGAAGTTATATTCTGCAAAAAAAGAATGAGAGCCACCTGGCCATCTTCTGCAAGAGGTGAGGCGACTGAGTTGCAAGGCGTAATGACGCATGATCTGTATAGATCACAAACGGTTTTTGAGCCAAGCAGGAGCATCCTGAACTTGACAAGCGCATACTTTATCGCAAAAACTTCCTTGTCATGGACTGGGTTGTTCATCTCTGAAGCCATGAGCTGGCGAGATCCGAACACGACCACCCGATCCCCCCCTCGTCTTCTGCTTGCAGCCAATGACAAAGCCCGAAGCGTCACAGACGACACTAAAAGGACTCTCGGGGTCTGGCAACGCCAGTATTAGTGCATTATGAAGGCTGTCTGTGACCCTGTCAAAATTCTCCCGATGTGGTGTTTCAACACCATTTCCCAACCTTTTCAAGGAGATTCGACAAAAGCCGTATCATTTCCGCATATTTGCGCTATCTT